CTTTTAAAATATTAGACACTTTTCACATTAAAAAAAATGAATGATGGATTTAGGATAGGCGGGGGTAGTTCCCAAGATAGCGGTTAGTTGATGTGAATGACTTGCTTTTAACTCTGAGAACATGGCATATGTGTCAGTGACTGAAGCATCTCACAGTCCTCAGCTGTGAATGCTGGTAATGGATTATTGGCAGCAGTCAGTGTCCCACTGACTGCTGGGGAGGTGAAAGTGATGATAACCCTGCTGTCATTCAAGATGGTAGAATCATTTGCCTCGGGACCTATTTTCTACCACGTTTCCCCAATGCCTTAGTGAGAATTCAGAGAGGGGTAATATTTTGTAGAGCCAGTTCAAAATGTCAGTATTAATCCCCTCCTTTGGTTTGACTGGAGCCATTTATTTAATACATTTTGAAAAATCCATACCAAATACTTGTTATGGTACCTGTCTATCTAACTTATTTTTGGGAAACATGCAAACCCATAGCTTCTTGAAAATTAATTCATAACATCCATACCTTTGAACCTTGAGGTGCATATGTGTAAATAGCATATGTACTGTTCTTTTCAGTGACCTTGTGTCTACCATAAATAAGCTGTGACCATTTCTCTTTAATTATCTTAATATAATTTAGGAACCTTTTATTTATAGCCAACAGTGGAGACAATGTTTAGTTAGAAAGAATGCTTGCTTGACCCGGAGTCAGGAGAGATCCAGATTCTAATCCTGCTTCTGGCACTTAATGGTTATATAACCATAGGCAAGTCGCTTAATTTCTCTAAAATTCAGTGTTCTCACGAAGGCATCACATCATACTGGGTAGAGTGCCAGACTTAGAAGCAGGAAGATAGTTGTTCAAATTCTACCTCAAGTCATTCAGTAGCTCTGTGACCCTGGGCAAGTCATTTTCCCTCATTAAGCCTTTGTTTCCTTATCTCTAAAATGGGAATAATAACCTCTTCTTCCTAAGTTGTGAAAATTAAATGAGATAATATATGGAAAATGCTTTGCAAACTTTCAGGTTTGTAGAGAGTATTTGCTAATTGTGGCACCAGTCTCCTTGGGCTGGTAAGAGAATCAGAGATGATATAGGGAAAGTGGCAACATACATGTGTGTATGTGTATACACACACACACACACATACATACATGTATGTATATATATGTGTATATATGTATATATGTGTGTGTATATATGTGTATATATAAAAATATGCTTTAGCCAGTACTAATACCAGTCACTTAGCATTTGTGAATCTCCTGCCTTGTGTCAGATGCTGAGTGCAATACTGGAGCTGCAAGGGTAAATTCTAGTAGTCAATAGCCAAGTTCTTCTGGCATTCACCCTCTTGATATATTGAGACAAATTGTAACTGAACTGAACTTAACAAGGAAAAGGAAAAGTACAGGCTAGATGAATGCCCACATTTTAAGGAAGGGGAGTTGGGAAGACATTCCAGTCTGCTCTGCTACTGCTCAGCATGTGAGTGGAAAGTATGTCCAAGACTGATTAAATTATGGCACATTCTGGTGTAAATTACATTATATTAAATAGTTAGCTGTGAAAGTTGTTAGGTAAGCATATCTCTTAAATATCTACTGAAATGATGCACTGAATTCATGAAAGATGTGTGTGCCACTCTCTGTATAGAAGGTGTTTCATGGACAGTTGGAAGCATAATTTCTGTCCAGGATGTGGTTATGGATAAGAGGATCAGAAACCAGACAGCTGAGGACAAGTGTGAGAATAAGAAGGCACTTACTTGGCCATTTGCCCCCTGGCTTCCTTCCATCACTTTCTATAGGAAGCCTTTCCCAATCCCCCTTAATTCTAGTGCCCCTGCACTGTTGATTATCATCAGTTAATCCTTTAGATATTGTGTTTGTATGTGGTTCTCAAATTATCTCCCCCATTATACTGTGAGCACCATAAGAATTTTTAAAAAAAAGAGAGGCACATAGTAGGTGCTTCATAAATGTTTATTGACTGATTGAATTTGATTTACAGATTTCAAAACAAAAATACAAATGCAAAATACCAGTGACTGGCTCCTCAGGCCTGTTGAATTAAGCTGAAACAAAAAATGTTAGGGTGGCATTCTTCCTTGGGATATTTCCATTCCTTTTTATTTTTGTCAAACAGGAAACGGAGTGAAAATAACTTTGTGGAATAACTCTCTGTTTTGGACCCTAAACAGATGAAGAGAGTACCAACATATGCAAAAGTTTTAAAGTAACTTGTAAATCCAGAAAGTTACCCAAATCTAGAAAGTATCCCTTCCCTCAAAGCCTTTAAAAAAAAAAAGGCAGCTTAGCCAAATGTCAGCATTATCTTCGGTGAGCATGTTCTTTTGCTGATTGCTTTATTCAAAATTTATTACAATCTTGGAAAATTCTGAGCAGCTGTTAAATGCATGTTGACATCTAACCGTTTGTTCTGTGATGGACTTGGTATGTTGACTGAATTTTAGTTTAGGGATAGAGGGTGTTTTGTTCACACACGACCAAGTATTGCAGCTAAGTGTCATTTTGTCATTAATTTTGTCATTGGGACTTAGCCTGGCTGCCATTCTATTAATGAGTACTCTGTCACCCTACTGCTGACCTTTGCATCTAGAGGTGACAGTTCCTTTGTGATAAGAGTCCTGTAGCTATAGAATGTATCTCTATGTGATGCATGAGGCAACTTCCTTTTTTTCTTTTTTAATGCCCTCAACTATATTTTAACATCACTTGCTATTCTGTTAAAAAAATCCTGGTTTGACCTCATGCCACTGAACATCTTTGAAAATGGTGGTAAAAGATGATTTGAATACTATGTATGATTTAAAAAAAAATTACTTCACCATTCTATTTTGTAGACAAATTAATCATTTTAGGCCAGATATGTGATTTTAATAGTGCAGGGAGTTCACCCAGTAGACATTCTCTCCACCTATGTAGCTCCTTTACAATTTACAGACTTACACAGAGTTGTCTGGGGGCGGCTAAGAGGTCAAGTGACTTTCCCAAGGTCACAAAGTAGTACATGTGAGAAACAGGCCTTGAATCTAAGTCTTCCTAACTTCAAGGCCATTGCCTTGAAACCACTTACATTTACTATCTCTAAATTCATTAGTAAAGCGGAAAAAGAAAAACTCAACTATATTTTTATCCTTCTTCCTTATGGAAATAGATATATTGCAGGGTGTTGTGTGTCTGAGTGTGTTTTTCTGGAAAATTCACCCTTTCTGGATTGACATTGGTCTTAACCTTTTCCATGGCAATATGATTTTATTGTATATAAAATTTTGCTAATTGTTTAGTTTCTTTCTTTCTTTCTTTTTTTTTTTTGGAGGGCAAGGTTTGCTAGAGGGCAAGAAAATAAGGGGAAAGAATAAATATGCCACATGTTGGTTGACCTGGTAGAATTCTCACATCAGTCCTAGCATTCTCTTCATCATCATCACCATCATTAACAGCAGCAGCATAACAATAATAATGATTAAAAACAACAATAATAACTAGCATTTATATACTGCTTTAAGATTTGCAAAGCACTGTGCATATGTTATATCTCATTTTTATCCTAGACTTCTCAGTAGCTTTGCTCAGTAGTGTTAGGAGAAATTCCTCTCCATAGCGAAGAGCCAGCGTATATTAAGGGACTTACTATTTACAAAGTGCTGAAATGGTAACACAAAGGAGTAGCTTTCCTGTCAAATCAAGACCAAGCCCCAGGACAAATCAGCTAACTGGGGTTGGTAGAGGAGAACAGATGCCAGTTTTGGTCTATTCTGATTTGCATGGGGCAGGGAGATTGCATTTCATGGAGAGAAATTCTTTTTTAAGCTAAAGATCCCCTTTAAATCATTAGAAGGAGAATCAGGCATCAGAAATAGGAAAAAGATCTTTTGGCCCTTGGTACACTTCACTTAGATGTTCTTGGGGGCTGCTGTGAATGAGGTCTTTGAAGTGGACCAGCTGTTACTATTGACTTGATATTGCTTTAGTTCAGAATTGCTTTGAATCTTTTCTCTCACCTCAGTCATGAGATTTTACCTTAAACAAAAGTTTGTTCCTACCTATGGATAATAGGCCACAAGTTATGTTCTTTTAGTATCTTTAATACATTGCCTCACATAATAAACTTGACATTTCATTAATCAAGTTCTTAGCACTCTTCATTACATCAAAGGTTCTACCCAGCGTGCCACCTGTATCTCCAACATCCAAAGCCTAGCTATGTTCTGCCTTCATTCTTTCCCAGTGGCCCATAATGTTGTGTTGTGCCTATTTATTTCCAAGTATCCATTTAAGTCAGTCATTCACACTTAGTTTGGGAATACAACATTAACTAGTCAATTCCTCATTCTTCCCGTAAATAAGTTTCCATTTAAATCTGAAACAAGCAACTACCTGTAATGATTAATTTAAAACTTGATTTTGTTTTCATCATATTACATATTTTTAAGGGCTTATATGCCCGTACCAACAGCCTCCAGGGCAAAGCTTGTATTTGAAATGGCATTTCCAAACAAGTTCCACATTAGTATATGCTGAGTTAGATATGCACTGTCAGGGAAGTCAGATGCTCTAGTGGGTGAAGGAAATGACTCTTCTAAGGGGTAATGAGTGATCTGGTCTTCGTTTTACCATCGTTTTCTCCCACCTCTAGTGCGTTCTTCATCAGACTTCATGCTCTTCATATGCCTTCTTTAGCCAAAAGCATTAAAATCTCTTTCATCTTTAAGTCTTTCTTCTTCCTTTTGTCCTCTTCCCCTGACATGTTTCCTTTTTCTTCTCCCTCCAGATTAGTCTTTCATTTTGTTCTGCAGATATTTCTTCCAAATATCAAAGTCCGTTATTTTGTTATTGGATTATCAGGGGTGCGAATGGGGATGTGCCATTTTACTAGACATACCCTTATTCAGCCATTAATACGTTTTCTCATATTATATTTCAAACAAGTAAGTAAGATTTAAGAAAAGTTTAAAACAAATCCTCCCTTTTCTCTACAGAAAGGTGCTTAGAAGACCATGAGCTGGTGGTCCAAGTGGAAAGCACAATGGGAGGTGAAAGTAAATTTTTATTCAGGAAGAATTATGCAAAATATGAGTTTTTCAAAAATCCCATGGTAAGTCCTTGCAGCATTTATAGAACCTGGAATAAGACTTTGTTTCTGGACCCATAATGATTTTTATGACCTAAAGTATAAGATTTTTGAGTACCGTATGACACAGTGCTTTTCTAAATGAGTGTAAATTTTTACTGTAGTTTAATTTATAATGTATAAAGGTTTGATTATCCTGATAACCATGTAATTCAGTGGTCTGTAATGCAAATCTTCCATACATATGTTTATACCAGATGCAAAATGAGAGATTCTTAACAGAATGAATGTCAAACCTTCTAAGAAATTCCAAATTCAGATTCAGCATTTTTTAAAATTTGAATTTCATAGTACTTGAGTCTGCTTATAAAATATACATTGAAAAAGTCAGGAGTTTGGGTGTGGGAGGAGTACAGAGGATCTGTTGAGGTACTTGGAGTCAAAATGTTTATAATCAGCACACGTGATTGACATGGCCTTAAAGTGGAGGAAAAGACTAACTTTTCCTATGTTTGGTTTTTGTTCCTGTTTTCCTAGAATTTCTTCCCAGAACAGATGGTGGCTTGGTGTCAGCAATCAAATGGCAGTATTCCCCAAACTCAGCTTTTGCAGGTACTGCAGAAATATACTTCTGCTGAAGTGCTGTTTATTAAAAGAGGAGAGGGGAGGTGAAAACCCAGAGGAGCTGTAATTGTGTAATTATGAATAACTCTGAAGTGGCTGCTTCCTTATCCATGTCACTGCCTCATCCCCGAGTTTGGTTTATGGTAACCAAAAATAACTGCTCACTTGGGAAATCTTCATGTGCCCAGAATTTTTCTATCTTAAATGATCGGTTAGAAAATAGCATAAACTTACTTTGACTCTGAAAAGAACTGCAAGTCATTTGATCTCAAGAGTGGGCCAGAATGGGAAGGCAATCAAAAACAGATGGGCATTTGTTTTTCGTACTGTTTACATTGACCCCAGGCCCCCACCAAGCGAGTGGTCAGTGGTCAGATGAAGAATAGGAAGCTAGTTTCTTGTCAGATCCTTTTTAAATCTATGTGAAAAAGGTTTGGTACTCAACCATAAGATAAACTAGATTTTTAACTAGCAAAAATAAAACTTTGTTTTTGGTAGTTTATCAGACATGACTGAAATGCCTCAACAACAGCGAATCCTAATAAAGGCAAATGTTCTTTAGGAACCTTAATGCTCCATCAGTGTTACCCGAAAAGTTTATGTTCATTTTCTCGGGTACCCTTCTAACTGAGGTTTTGTTATAGGTAGTCTGGTGAAAAAAGCTCTGGAAAAAGAGGCATCTTGGGAAAGTTACCCCTCTATGAACTTGTATTTAAAAACATATATTTCACTATAATAGGTTTCCTTTGTAATCCTGTGTATTTTGGTTTTTGCATTTAATAGTCTTATTCTGAGAATTGTTCTGTAGACTTCACCAGAAGGCCCAGGGCATCCATGATGCAAAATTTTAAAAAAATTTAAAAAGTTAAGAATTCCCATCTATAAAATAGAGTTAACATTTGCAAAGCCTCCCTTTCAGGCTTGGTGTAAGGAAAACTCTTTTTAAGGCGTGATGTGGTCTGGAAATGGTGGTATCATTAAAGAGAGGCAACCTGACATGTAGTGTTCATGGAGCCCTCAGGGAAGAGCTGGGTCTTCTCTGGCTCTGACTGTGTGACCGTGGGCAAGTCAGATCATTTCACAGTGTTCCCTGCAGCGTCTGAGGTTTTAAGTTGCAGAGGTGGTGGAGATCTGCATTGGCACAGGGTGTCCCCTCAGCAGGAAATTCCTTAAACCAGTGAAACCATGAATCTTGTCCCTCTTCCTTTAAATAAAACATATTCTCACTTTTCTAGATAGTTAAATTTGGAGAAGTAAGGAGAGGGAGAGGGAGTTCATGAAAAATCTTTCAGATATAACTCTTCCAAATTTGCTAATGTGATGACGTAAACAGTTCACAAAAATGACGGGTAGCACAATAGTCAGAAGTTTGGCCCTTTCAGATTTTGATTTTGGACGGAGGTATTTTTCTGCTTTATTCAGTTCCACAGTCTGCAAAATTTCAGTGTCAGGGCTTTTGTTGGCTCATCTGACGGCCAAAAATTCTGTGCCATTTGTTTGTTTCTTAAAGTATGGCCAGCTTTCAGTTCTCATGGCTAATAGAACGAAGTGGTGGCATGAATTTTTTTTTTTAATCATTAAGTTTAACTTTGTTCTTTTATTTGTACAGGGTGTGCCTGATTTCTTAAAAACTCAAACACTCAAACTAAATAATTATGGCCCATTGTGAAGACCTAACACAGGAGAAACTAAAATCTATCTGGCTTCCCCAGTCAAACCCCTTTCTGATTCCCACTTGTTAATGAACAGCATCATTTCTCAGATTGGAGTAAAACTCTACTCTCTTTAGGTTTTTTCTTTTTCTGCCTCACATCTTCCCTGTTGTGAAGGAGATAATTAAGTGGTTTGAGTCAAAACGTCTTTCCCCGTCTTGTTGAGTTACAAGCTGCTTGTAGGGAATGAGTAAACAGAAATGGTGACATAGTCAGCAAGACATTTGAAACAAGCATAATCCATCAGAGAAAATCAAAGAGACAAGTAATACCAATGTAATATTTATCAGATTTCAATTAAATTTGGAACATAATCAGAGGTTATAGAAACATGGTTTCATTGAGTGTTGCCCACAGTTCTAAGAACCCATAATGACTACTGGTTAATTGAACAGTCATCAGGTTTTCTGGGTCCTCTAAACTCTACATTTCTGATGATTATATATTAATGTTATTAAAACCTAGGGAATGTGAGGATAGCATCCTGAATGATTTTGCTTAGTACCTCAAGAATCTATAATTCGGTCAGTGTGTGTACTCTCATCATCAATACTGATCCCAGTTAATCAATTAGATAACAAGTGTTTATTAATATGTTGGGCTCTGGGGTACAGAGGCAAAAATGAAACCATCTTGTGGCTTCAAACCCTCTATTACTTAGTTTGTCTTTGAGATTTGCTAAGGTTGAAAATTCTCACCACCCTGCACCTAACTTGTTAATGAGCCTCTCCAAACTTAGGTAGGTTGGTTCTTGGATAAAATGACCTACAGCCATCACAGGGCCTGTATTCAAAGCCTTTCTATTTTGGTAGGCTTTGCCATAGCTTATACATAATGGTATTCTAGAACCAGGAGTCACCTCCATGACATGGCAAAGACACAGAACAGGACTTTGGTGGAAACTATACATTGTTTTATGGGTGAATTTATGATTTCATAGATATTTCCATTATAATTTGCTAAAAATGTATTTATGTATAACATATAGCATCCAAAGTGAATTTAGGCTTTTTTGTCTTTCAGGTAGAAAAAATTTGATAAGATCATTTGAAAAATAAAGCCAAATTAAGCTATTTTAAGTATATATTGTTAGCAACAGAGAGAATGTTGAATTTCCTAGATTGTACCTGTCTGTTAATTATTCACTTCACATGAATGTCTGCTAATCTTCTTACTTAATTTTGCCTACAACAGAATTTTTTAAACTCCAGCAGTTGTCCTGAAATTCAAGGTTTTTTACATGTGAAAGAGCTAGGCAGGAAGTCCTGGAAAAAATTATATGTCTATTTGCGAAGATCAGGACTTTATTGCTCCACAAAAGGAACTTCAAAGGTAAATTACATTCTAAAACATTTAGTCAGATACTAACGCATTCCAGATTATGACTGTCCAATTTGAACTTTCTGATTTGTTTAAACCATTTTTTTTTGTCTTTGGTTTCTTTGAAGCGAAATGTCCAAAAAGCAGAGTATCTTAGAGCAGTGCATTGAAAGAAGGTCTGGTGGGATCAAGCCTTGCACAGTGACCTTACTCTTTCTGTGGTCTTGGGTGAGCCACTTAAACCTTTCAGAAATAAGGAGGTTACCATTAATGACCTCTGATGGCCGCCTTCTAGCTTGAACTCTATGGTTCTGTGAGAGTTCCTTATCAATCTGAAAGTGCCAGATAAATGTAAGGTATTATTATTTGGTTAATAACAATAATGACAAAAACTTTAAATAAAATTCACTCCTGAAGCTTGCCTCACTGGAGTCTGTCTTCAGTTTTCGTTCTGTGAGTTCTATAAGTTTTACTCAGAGTTGAGAAGACTTTCTTTGGCAAGGCTATCAAATGTGGACTAAAATAAACTTTACACTGGGGAAATTTAAAATTTCTTCAGCGCATATTAAAAAGTGTCTCCTAAAGATGTAATATTTTTCCTAACTTCTCCACAAGTTGGAAGGAATCAAAGATGTCATTTAAATGTGCATATGCTGCCCTCTGTTGGAGTGGAAATGCAAAGTATTTGCTCTCAGAAATGCTTTCGTCAGTTTAATATTCTCACAATGCAATAATTTTTTGCAGGAGCCAAGGCATCTGCAGTTACTGGCTGACCTGGAAGACAGCAATATCTTTTCTCTGATAGCAGGCAGGAAACAGTATAATGCCCCTACAGACTATGGGTTTTGTATAAAGGTAATGTTTTTCAACAGTTAATACATCTAGAAACTATCTGGCTTTTCAGGCACTTTATGGATAGATTTCAGCAGGTTGCATTTTAGAATGAGTATCTGTTGGAAGGAGACAATATGTAGGTTTTTATATTTAAATTTCTTTGGAAATTTGAAATTTGACATAATTTAACACTAAGGCTATTTAGCTCCTTAGTACTCAAGCAATTTATTATAAATTCAATTGGGTTGTTTTGTTTTGTTTTGTATTGTTTTCAGCGAAAATTTTTTTGTTCCTACACTTAGATTTTCAGGCCATCCCTTCTTATATTGGACAAGACCCTTGTTAGCAAGGTTCTTGCTAGTTACCTAAGGGGGGGCTGCTTCTTAGAAAAAAAGCCCTCAGTCTTGAATGTGCCTGACCTTGCATATATAGTTCTTAAATGAAAAAGAAAATTCCTTCCTTAGGAAAAATCAGGTTCTTTCCATTTATTGGCCTCTGTGTCGAAGGATTCTTGGGCAAGAAACTTCCTTCCACCAATGTAGATTGGCCAGTATTATGCAACTTAGAGGGAGCCCTTATCTACTTAAATGGAGCTTTTTTTAAAAAAAATTTAAATAAGACTCTCTTGTTTTGATTTTTCAATTATATGTAGTATTCAACTTCAAATAATGGGTATCTTCTTATCACATAAGTTTGGTTAGTAACACATATCAGCATCCAGCAACCTTTAAGTCCTCATGAGCATCTTGAGCAGAGCTTCTTAATCTTCGTTCTGTGAACTTTTTTTTTTAATGTTTTGATGACCGTATTTAGTATAATTCGTTCCTTTTGTTACCTTGTTTATTTTCTTTTACACATTTTAAAACATTCTTCTGAAAAGGGGTCCATGACACAAAAGAAAGGTAAAAATACTGATCTAGAAAGTACATAGATAGTTACGGATAATTAAACCTTCCTGATATTTATAGTAGGCACTGACAAGAGGAAAAAAGAGCTCTCTAACAGTTTTGAATGTTGATGTCACAACATATTCAAACATTCTAAACAAAAATACATTTATATTAGAATTGGAAATTATCTAATAAGCATAATTCAAATATCATAACAGAATGTTGGCAAATCTGATTTGTGGCCTCCTAACTAGTAGGTCTTGACATGACTCCAAAAATATGGCTTGTCTTATCCAAAGCATGATAAGCAGTCAAAACAAAGTTACTGTGCATCCCTCTCTTTGGAAGATCCAAATGTGAAAAGTGAAAGTTGTTTCTAATATTATTTGGAAGCTAGCTCAAGTACTATAGCCCCTGACGTTAATTTAATCTTTACCAAATCTTTTATGAGAGATTTTATGTCATTTTAGTCTGTGCTCATAAGTTTTTTCTTAAGTAAACAGATTGAAAAGGAGTAGTGTACTCTGTCTGTAACGTGGATCTTTAAATCTGAAATGTATACCAAGTCTAACAGGGGGTAGGTAAGTGGTGCAGTGGATAGAGTGTTGGTCTTGGAGTCAAGAAGACTTTTCCTGAATTCAAATCTGGCCTCAGACACTTCTTAGCTGTGTGACCCTGGGCAAGTGATTTCAGCCTGTTTGCCTCAGTGTCCTCATCTGTAAAATGAGCTGCAGAAGGAAATGGCAAACTATTCTGGTATCTGCCAAGAAAACCCCAGACAGGGTCACAAAGAGTCAGAAACAACCCAACAACAATTAAGTATAATAAGGAAGTAGAGTACTAGACTCTTAAGTCCATGGAAACTCATCTCTCTTAATTGTATGTGTTCAAGTAGCCCCACCAGAGTAGAATTCTTGTTGCACAGATGGTCTCCTGCAGTGCATATGAGACTGGCATCTTATTCTTCCATGGGCAGCAGTATTCATTTCTATTATGTTAGCTGATTTAGAGCTTCCTCCTACTCCATTTTGACTTGGTTTTTTTTTCTGTCTCTGCTACCTGATCACACACAAGGATTTCTCAAATTTCCCTAAATAACCTTATGGAGATTCCTTGATTAACAGGTCTTCTGGGAACAAAGCTGCTTTCGATATGATCAGGGGAGATAGTAGCCCTATATGAGGTGTAGGCCTCTCAAGCCTGAGCCTCAGTGTCACACCATAGAAGAATCTTTTTTTTTTTTTTTAAAGAAATTGGAGCTGTTTCACTTATAGCAGAGAAGATTCAGAGGATACTTTTCAGACACTTGATGGACTTTTCTGTGGAAGAGGCATTTGAGCACATAAGTAGGAGCCAAGGCAAATTTAAGTTTGATATTAGGAAGCAATTCCAAACTATCAGAGCTATACCAAAGTGGAATAGAGTGCCACAGGAGGTAATGGGATCCCCTTTATTGGAGGTCTTGAAGCAAAGATTAGATAATTACTTGGCATAATTGGAAGTGGAAATGTTTTCATGAGTGGGTTGTCCCAGAGGTCCCTTGGTTCTATGAATTGGCTTTAGCTGAGAGGGAAGACCATACTCCTGAGAAGTCACTTACATCAACCATTATTCACTTGTGAAATGCAAGAACGTGACTTCATGTGGTTTTTGCTGGTTTAGGAACCATCTTCAGATAATCATAGTTGTATGTGTCCAGTAGGCAGGAGGTCATAGTTTGTCTTACACGAACAGAGTTGGCAGGGCCGGTATAGAAGACTGTGTCTTGGTGCTCAATCCTGTGCCTCCTATATTATTTCTACCCTTTGCCAATGAAATTCAGAAAACGGAGTGTGACGTTGGAATACTCCCTAACAATTAGAGCTGTTTGAGTTGAATGAGCTACCTTGGGGAGGTAGTGGATTCCCCACTGTTTGAGGAATCCAGGGAAAGGCCAAATGACATCTTGGTCACATATTGTGGAAGGGATATTTTTTTAGGTATTGTTTGGACTAGATGGCTCTCAGGACCCTTCCAGCACTGACATTCTGTGATCCCATGATTCTGTCTCTTCATTCATAGGGTATTAATGAATTAATACCTATACAGTCTTCACTACAGCAATCACCATTCATCATTATTAAAAATCATTCCACTTGGGTATTAAGTGCCTACCGTAGCAATCTCTCCGTGGTTACAAATACCATTCTGAGATATTTACTCTTATCATGTAGTTACACACTTAAGTTCCCCCTCCCAAAACTATTAAAATGATGTTGGTCAATGATACCTGACTATACCTTTTGCTTAATGATAGGCCTTATTTATCATTATTTCCCACTCATGCTTTCCGGAGTTCAGCCATAGGTGGTTCTCCCATACCTGATTCACCCTTAGCATCAGTACCTTCCTCCACTTTTTCCTTGACCATATTCTAGAGCATATAATCTCACTCGTAACTTGTCTTTTTCCATTTTGACCCTGGTTACCAATAGTGATAATCCACCAATTCCCTTGAAGAGGATGTATAGCCATGGTGCTTTAAATGTGCTGGTGCTACTTTTTCGTTTCTATATAGCTATCACTAATTCGTTATTCTTAGTTTCTGTAACTACTGTTTCAATGGCTCTTTTTCATACTTATACTAACTGAAGTTCATTTGTCCTCTTGTAGCCAAACAAATTAAGGAATGAGACAAAAGACCTCAGGTTACTGTGTGCTGAAGATGAACAGAGCAGAACGTGTTGGATGACGGCTTTTAGGCTCCTCAAGGTATTTTATTTCTCATTTAACAGCCAACCATGTGCGGTGCTTAGCATAGTGCCTGGAACATAGTAGGCACTTAATAAATGTTTATTGATTCAATATAAAATAAAAGTTTGTTAATACTTTTTTTGCCTTTTAAGTATTGAGCCATTGTTTTAACATCTACCATATTTGAAAACAAAAAATCAACTTAAATTTAGTGGACCCAAGCCTTTTAGTGCTGTGGCAATACAATTAGATATTCTCCCTAGAGACTAGGACGTCTCTTGGTACCGCTGTCGGAGAACATCAGACCTTTGGTCTTGACCCAGTCTGGTATGACTCAAGTCTCATAGTTTACACGGCTCTTTGGAAGCCTGACAACCAAGAATACATCACCTAAATTAGCTCAGACATGTGTGTGTCCATTTTGGCAGCTGTGTGGAGGATGGATTAAAGTGCACTTGAGGGCAGGAACACCACTTAGGAGGTTACTGTAATCCAGGCAAGAGATGATGAGAACCTGAGCTACTCAGATGGTAGCTGTGTAAGTAGAGGAAAGAGGACCATAAGCAAGAGATGTGTAGAGTTAGAAATGACAAGATTTGGCAAGTGATTTGACAGGTGGCATGAGGGAGAATGAAGATTCAAAGATGGTGGTGTCCTTGACAGCAACTGGGGAGTCCTAGAGGAGGGAGCAGATTTTGTGGGGAAGATAATGAGCTCTCTTTTGGACATGTTGAAGTTGAGGTAGTTACAGGACAACAGGATCAAAATTTCCAATAGATACTTGGTGATTTGATAAAGAAAAACATAACGGGAAGATGCTGAGACAGATGGACCAAAAATATGACAATTGATTTGGGATTAAATAGGCATCCTGGACTATTTGATAGCTTGTGTTTAAGGAAGAATAGAACTAGAAAAAAATCCCTTATTGACATCGATAGAGGACTTCAGTGTTCCTAAAGCACTTTACGATACATTATTTCGTTTGAGCCTCACAAAAACGCTGTGCAGCAAGCACTGTAAATATTATCTTCGTTCTACATCTCAGAAATGTTAGATAGCTTGGCCTTGGTCACACAGTGAATAAGTGTTGAAGACAGTTTTCAAACTCGGGTCTCTTTGCAACCAGGACCAGCGCTCTACCTACTATCCTGCTCTATCTTCTGTGTAAATCTTAAAAACTATTCATATTTATAAGGGGCTTTTTTGTTTATTTTTTGTTTCCTTTACATTTTATCTCCTTTGATCTTGACTTAGGTAGTGCCTCTCTACCTCTCTCCATTTTACAGATGAGAAAATGGACACTCATTGACTTGCTCAATGTCCCACACCTTGTAAATGGCAGAACTGGAATCTTGACTTGGGTGTTCTCACTCCAGATATGGTCCTCTTTACATTACAGTACAGCTCTTAGGAAAACTGTAGAGGAAATCATAATGTTAATTAAGTAATACAGTTTTAAACCATATTAAACTAAGGTAAAATTAAAGATTTGCCAAGGAAAATGCATCAGAAGGGAAGTTTGCTACTTACAGAGGTTTTATAGGGACACTATAATTTTCTCTCCTAATCACCTTATTTTATTCCAACAATTTCCCCCATCTTTATATATATAAGTAAATATAAAATCATTTTTACACGTAGTCCAATTGAAAGAACTCTTAAGTACTCACCTAATGACTTCTGAGCCATTCCAGCTCAAAAGCTATGATCTTGTGAGCTGTGACACTTAGCTGTGACTCTTTTCCTTTCAGTGCTTCTGTTTCCCCATATGTGAAATAAGGATGTTGGATCATCAGGGGTGAGGAACCTGTGGCCTTGAGGCTACATGTGGCCCTCTTGGTCTTCAAGTGGGCCCTTTGATTAAATCCAAACTTTACGGTTTGGAATTTGGCCTCGAGGCTGCAGGTTCCCCACCCCAGAACCAGATGATGACTTGGGTGCCTTTCAGCTCCTCTTAGCCTTTGCTCCTTAATATTTTTTCCACTCTAAATCAGGGAAGAAATTACGGTAGATTTTGAGTCCTCCTGGTGGGCTGATGTGTCAGAAATCTTTATCAATCTTTTAATTTACACCAGTTAATAAAGAATAACAGCAAAGAGTGATGAAGAAAACCAGAACCTGTATCTCCTAGCAGGTCTCTCCTTATTCAGTAACTCCCTGATGCCCGGGGTAAAGGATTCCTGTATTTCTGAAGGAAACAAACTGAAAGAAAGAGAAATGTGATTGGCAAGTGAATGACATTTAGAAATGCCTTCCCTTTCAAAATTCAGGTTTGGACTTTTGACAACCTTTGGACTGGGGCAGGGATCTGGCACAAAACCAGTCACTCACTAACATTTCCCTTCAGGGTTGGAGGTACATCAAGGAACTGACAGCCCCACACCCCCAGCCTAGGGCAGCCAGGAGAAATGAGAGGAAAAGGCAGATGAACCTAGTGGAGGGAGGGAGGCCAGATAAATGCTGACTAGATCTCTTCTTACTTCTATCCCAAGCAGTATTGATGAGCTTACAGCTTCTTCAGTTTTTTTAACTCAGTGCTGAAACACGCTTCTTTAATTTAGCCCACTGTCAGGCCGAGCAAGGATAATAAAATTTATTTTAAATAAAATTTTAGCTTGGAAAAGCCTCTGCTATTTTAACAGATAAAACAACGAAGTAGCAGGAAGTAGAAACTTATATAGAGAAAATATTTCTTCTCTTAATGAGGGATAGACAGACACAGACAGATTAGAAAGTCATAGAATAAAATTTTATTTTTATAAGTAAACCTTATTTTTAAATGATTTTTGTTACTTAAGCATTTACTTTCTGTCTCTCTTGCTAAAAAAAAAGAAAGAAAAGAAAAACAGAGCTCTTTTAACAAATATACATTGTCAAGCAAATCAAATTCCCACCATTTCCCGTGTCCAGAAATGTCTCATTCTGCATCTCTAGGCCACCACTCTCTGTTGGAAGGTGGGTAATCTTCATTGCTCCTTAAGCATTGTAGTTAGCCATTATCTTATGTCATAAGTTCATTTTAAATCCCCTTCTGTATATGGCTCTAATTTTCCAATTTCCTTTCCTCAAAAGACTAGCAAAGAAAGAAATCTAAGCTTTAATGTTAATCCTATATAACTCTCCTAGCTTCACATCAGTACCTTATTTTAAAGGTGCATCTGGATCATTCAGTTTCTTGATCTTTAGAGCAGTCATCAGCAACTGCTAGGACACATATATCAAGTGGACTTTAAATGACCTGTGCCACGGTGATTTATTGACCATCTTCAGGCAGCACATATTTATCAAGCGTTTACTGTGTGCCATGCCCTGGGCTAAACACTGGAGGGAAGAAAGGACAGAAAGTCCATGTTGGTCATCTTACAATGTGTATCTGATGAAGAAAATCCACTTAAACTCAACATATATTTATCATTAAGTATCCATTGTGTGCCAGGCATTGTGCTATACATTGCAGGGCACACAACATTTATTTTTAGTTTGTTTATTTGTTCGTTAGTTTTCGTGGTTTTCAAACTGGGTCTCCCTATCTTGCCCAGGCTAGAAGTGCAGTGACCAGTCACAGTCTTAGTCCCACTGCTGAGCTACGTGGAAGCCATATGATTTGCTCCATTTCCAACCTTTCCATTCGGGCCCCCATTCCTGGAGACTCAGTGTATTTGGAGCCACACTTACACAGACCCGAATCAGCTTTAGTCCCTACTGCTGCTCAAAATTCCCAAGCTCAAGTGATTCAGCAGATCTAGTCTCCCACTAACAGAGACTACAAACATGTAGCACCATGCCTACTGGGATTCAGCATTTAATAAGGCAGAGTCCTGGCCTTCTGGGATCTTATAGTCAAATGAGAACACATAGATTTTTTTTTTTAGTACTTCAGAAAGTTCGTTTAATTATTGTAGGTGTTCCTTCAAACATAGATTGGCAACCCCATCCTCCATGCCAAATGAGATAAAAGCTCTAAGCACAGTACCTTGTACATGAGTAGGAGTAATGTTCTACTCTTTCCATTCACTAATAAATAATCTTTAACCTTGGCAAAAAATATAAAAGAAACTTTCTTCCCTGTTGGTCAAGTTTATACACAAAATTAGCTTACCTGGTCCTGAGACAATAAACACATCATCCATTGGGAAACCTACTCAAAGCCTTTTTAGCTTGGTCATACTTGCCAGCACAGCCAAAAACTCAGGGCTAATGCTCTGTTATGCTGAGGCTTTGGGAAACAACTCTGGAGCAGATCTGTCCCAAATAACCAGGACACTGTAATGATAGGTACAAGAGAAAGGTACAGGTATACTTGTCATCTGTCAAGGGTGAAGTTCTGGCTACATTTTAACTTACTTATCATCATCAGAGTTTACAGATACGAAACCATGATTCAGATTTACAGTTGACCAATAATGTATAGAAAATTTAGCCTTCCCTTGGTGAACTTGTTATATTTTCTCCTGATGATAAATGGTGAAATCTGACTGTCATAGCAATGGGGAACAAGGAACTGTATTCTAATTGTGATTATCTCAACATTTTTCATGGAGGAATCTGAAGAAAGTATTTTGTGTTTGCTGTAACATTGAGCTGTTGATTTGTTAATCTGAGAGAGAGGATCTCTGAAGCTTTTGGAAGGCAGGAGTCAATTGAAGTATCTGTTAGCCTAATTTAGTCTTTGGAGATAAGAATGTGTCTTTCATCTCTTGGCCTTGATAAAAGTGAAAAAGAATCCATCAGTCTGCAGTTGCCTACCCTAGTTTGAGGAAGTTTTTTTAGAGTGTCATTTTTTTTCCATCTGAGTTTGAGACAGCCTGAACTTAATGAAATGAAATATTCATCTTTTAATCCAACTTAATTATGATCTTCAAACTAGGGACCCTGATGTCTAAAAGTGAGAATCACAGTTAATCTAATTTGTCAAAGGTCTGCTTGACATTTCATAACTCGGTTCTTGGATTTCTAAACCTGAACAATTCTTATAACTTCCAGACCCATTAATAGTAAATCATAGCTTTTCTGGCTTGTGCAAGTTGACTTATTCAAGGAAGATTGAAAAGTTATTTGCTAGTTAGGTGTTAATTTTGAAAGCATGAGGAAATTAGGAATTCTTTAAACACAAATTTGTCCCGAGTGTATGCTTTGTATCAACAAAGAATATTTAATATTTCCTTTTTTTTTTTTTTTGATAAAGTACTAGACTCAAACCTCTTAGACTTGAGCACAATGGTTTTAACCCAAGCAATGTAGGGGACACTGCACCTACAGTCAAAAGAAATGATTTTGGGTACAGGCTCCTTCATTTTCTAGTTCTATGACTTTGGGTAAACCACTTAATCTTTCTAAATCTCAATTTTTCCTCATCTGTTAAATGAGGATAGTAATGCCTTCCCTGACCAATTAATGGATTGTTTTAAGCATTAAATGAGAGAAATGCATATGGAAGCTTTTTAAAACTGTAAAATGCTGCAAAAAATGGATCATAGCACTGTAATTAGGTAGGCCTGTGGGATCTATAAGCTCATCAATGTGGATACTCTCTGACGGGTGGCACGCTAGCCGCAACTCCTCATTCTATGCAGCTGTTGGCCATATTCTTCTACAACTCCTCCAGGGGCGGTCTACCCAATACACTAGAGGCTTTCATGGATGCCATTATAGCCCTTATACTGCCCTTCTGATAACACTTACCTTACCTAACACTGATGCCAGAGTCAGAATTCTGGCCCAAAGTAATTGGTTAGATACTATTAAAATAACATGGAATAACAGTCTTCTGTTGGGATCAGAACATCAACTTCACAAGTACAGGATGGTAGAGGTCTAGCTAAATAGTTCTGAAAAAAATCTGGAGGTGCTGGTGGCCTCTAAACTCAATATGAGTTAGTAGTAGTGGTGAGGAATCTGTTACATGCAGTGTGGTGAGGGAGAAACCATTGGCACCCTCCAGGGCAAGAGAAGAATATTTGTTTTCCAAATAAGAGACTCTGGGCATTTCTCCAGGTCTGTGCTTTCCCCAGGGGACAGTGGGGGTAAGGGGATCCATGTATCAGAGTCAGGGTACCTGTCTTGTTTGTTTTTTTTCTCTGGGATGGTTGTAGGGAAAAAAAACAGCAGGGGCCAGAGTGTCCAGACACAGCCTCATGACCCAGCTGATAGATGAACAGACCTGCATAACTACCTGTTCCCCCATAGGGAATTCTGCTGCTTTAAAGTTTGTGCCTCAGAGAAAGACCAGCTGAGCCTCAGAGTTTGGTTTTATAGGGTCTCTTCAGTTCCTTCTAGGTGTTGGATGTGAAAATGGAGCATGGCAGCCTCTAGCTATGGGCAGCAGTGGATATATGATCTTCAGTCATTCCCACCTGACTCCTCTGCCCCATGTTGACATGGGACTTTTGCCCTGATGTTGATAGCAAGATCCAGAAGCAAGGTTGATGATAGGGGTTGAGGCTTCAGGCCCAGTGAGCATCACGGGCAGTGTCAGAAAGGATATCCGAGGTCCCAGCTATGGGTGGTGAGCTGGCAGTCCTGGGCCTGGATATAGTGTGCTTTCCCCAAGGGACAGTGGGAACGAGGGAACCCATGATCTGTTGACCACCAAAGGTAATGAAATCTGAAATGCTTTGAGAGCCATTATGGTGTTTACAACCAGGGAGATGTAGTAGTCTCTTCCTCGGTCTGACCATATCCAGACTATTGTAGTAAATTCTAGATGCAACATTTTAAGAAAGATGTTGATAATCTTGTGAACATCTAGAAAGAGGACAACCAGGATGGTGAAGAAACTCATTTCATTTGAGGTTCACCTGAAGGAGTTGAGTATAATTTGGAGGCTCCATGATGGCTGTCTTCAAGAATTAAAGGCATGTCTTGTGAAAGAGAGGTTAGACTTGTCCTGTTTCGCTCAAGAGGACAGAACTAGGAGTGATGGGCAAAGGCTTCAATGAGGCAGATTTAGACTCAATATCAGGAAAAATCCCCCTAACACTCAGAGCTATCCTAAAGTAGAATAAATAACCTCAGGGAGTGTAGTGGCTTTCCCCTCACCAGAAGTCTTTGACCAAAGTTGGAGGACCACTGGTGGGTTCCATTGTAGAGGATATGCAGGTTGTACTCTGACCTCTGACCTCACCAATCCTGAGAGTCACAGAATCACAGACTTCATGGCCATGGCCCCCAGAGAATACCCTCTACCACAGCATACCAAACAAGTGATCATCTTGCCTTTCCTTCAAGACCCACAATGAGGGGGAACCTTCTATTACCCCCAAGGCAGCCCAGCCTCCATTTTGGATAGCTCTCATTTTTAGGAAGTTTTTCTTGACATCAAGCCTTATGTCAACAACAATATCATTGAAAGAAAATGAGGCAGAGGTTAAGTGACTTGCCCATGGGTTACACAGGTGGTGAGTATAAGAAGTTAAATTTGAATCTAGACCCGCTGACTCCGAAGCCAGTGACCTTCGCACTGGAGCCACCCTCTATGCTGTGAAGCTTGTTAGCCATTTAGAACTGTACTCAGTACTACTCATTCATCATAATGAAATTCAACTGTATGATGGCTGTTGGGTTGAAAAAATATCTCTGTCACTGACTTTGTTCTGTTCTTTCTAGTATGGCATGCTCCTTTATCAGAATTACAGAATTCCACAGCAGAGGAAAGCCTGGCTTTCCCACTTCTCAACCCCCGTGGTAAGTACTGGTGTGTAACCTCTTTACTTTGTGTGGGGAGGTGGTGGGGTGGGGAATTTTGGTTTATTCCAGGTTTGTCAAAGCAGACAGAAAAGTCTGCTATGTAACAGAAAAGTCTAGCTATGGCGTTTCCACTTCATCAAAATTTATTTTCTCTTTCAACATTCCTTTTCCATCTTGATTTCTTGATTATTGTATGCTGTTAGGACTTCTCCTTCCCCATGCCCTACTCCTCCCATCTATAGAGCTTATGAAATATGAATATGAATGATCAGCTCTCCTGAATAGATTTAGTAATGATAATACTAGCTGATCTATAGGTTCGAAGAATGCTTGAGGTACATTGTGGCATACCAGAACAGCATCATGAGGTCAGTACTGTGTATATCATGCCCATTACTGATGAGAAAATTGAAATTGAGAAGGGTAAGTGATTTAATGATGGTTGGACTACTAGATGGTAGCAGGGCAAGATTTGAGTCTCCATCTCCCCTTGGCTCTTGAGTCTAGTGATTTTTTTCTGCTATTGAGCCCTGTTCCTTTTTTTTTTTTTTTTTCACTCTTACCCCACAGGCTATGTACTTTCCTGTAGTCTGCTTTTTCCCCAGTGGTAAGCAAGGCATAGAAGAGGTTACAATAATTCTCCTAGATTGTTATGATACGGTATCTCTCCTATACAGACAGTTAAATTTTTTTTTTTACTGGTACAGGAAGTTTCCTGGTGAGGGATTCTCACTCTACCATTGCAGATAGCCCCCTTATTTGCAATTTATAATCTTAGATGTTGCTTCGGGCACTGAAGGATATTAAAATTTTTGCCCAGGGTAAGCAAGGTGGCAAAATGGATAGAGTGCTGGGCTTGGAGGCAGAAAGACCTGAGTTCAAATCTGGCCTCCAACACTTACTGGTTATGTGATCCTGGGCAAGTCACCTAACCTTTGTCTGACTCAGGTCCCTCAACTGTAAAATGGGCTAATAGCACACACCTCACAAAGTCATTGTGAGAACCAAATGAGGTAATATTGGTAAAGTTCTTAGCACATAGCACACTTAGTCAATGTTCCTTTCCATCCCATTCATATATGTCCAAGGCAGGATTGAATCCAGGTCTTCCTAATTAAGATTTTGCATATCAAGAGACAGCCTTCTCCACTCTACCCTGTCTCCAGTTAACCCACAGAAGGAGTTCCTTCCTTAGCTCCCTCCTATTGTGACTGAAATCTGAATTTATTTTTTCTTTATTATCTTCACCTTTCAAGCATTTAATACATGTTGTTGGAAGGTGGGGGTTGAGTTCTTGTCATATTACAATGATGTTTTCTGAGGAGAAAAAGAAGAGCAGGGAAGCCCAGGAGACCAAGACAGGGAGAGAGGCCTGCTTCCTGGGGCAGATTGTCCCTCTATGTCAGTTGATATCAGCTTCCACGAGCACTTTCCCTGGAAGAGCTACTAATCCTGGTTCATTTCTCTGATAATAGAAGGAGCACTCATCTAAAGGGAAAAACCCCTAAACTTGACCAGGAGGCCTCTTCCACAAGTTAGAAAACCAAAGGATTCTAGGGTGACAGACCTTGAGGGCTTTTATTTTATGCATGAGTACGTTGAGGCCTAAGGTGGCAAAATGACTGGTCCCTATGTCAAACTGTAAAACAATGGTAGACAGGAAATCTCCTGAAACAAAGATGGGAAACTTTCTGTTTTAAGGAAATAAAGATTTTTCAGCTACCACAATCTAAAAATTTGTTGAATGGAGGGGGTAGAAGCAGGATTTTTTTCTATTTTTATGATGCTTACTTAGTACCCTCTGCATGCTGCTGCAAGTTTTAAAACAGCCTGACCTGTTCCTTTCCAGCGCAGTGTGTCTGAGAACTCTCTCGTAGCAATGGACTTTTCCGGTCAAACAGGAAGAGTGATTGAGAACCCTGCTGAAGCTCAAAGCGCAGCCTTGGAAGAGGGCCATGCGTGGAGGGTAACATAATCTGTCCCCTCTCCTCTTTACTAAGCCCCTTTTGTGAGCTTGAACCTGACATGCCACTATGGGGATGTGCCAACAGCCAGTGTAGATTAGTTCTTCTATGGATTATTCATACCTGTGTATTAGAGTTCAGGTCTGCAAGAAAAAAATTTCCATATTGGAGCATTTCTCTCTCATTCACAACTAGCTCGTCTCTGCCTTGGGGTATCTAGAAGAAGGTTGAAGGGGAAAACAGACATAACAGATTCTTCTTGACAATTTGCAAACCAGTTTTTGCAGACAAACATGTCAAATTAACCACATTATTTTATAGAAGGGGAAAAAGCCTGTGCTGTCACTCATGGCTTTCTCCCACTCTGTTTGACACTAGATTGTGCAAGAGGAAGGACACCTGGAATGAGTTGGACAATTTTTACTTTTGTGATGTGCACAATGAGTAGAGTACCTTATCCTCATACTCTTCTGCTAGTGGTCATTGGTCCATATCAGACATGACCAGCGAGGGCACTCTTTGAAAGACAAGGAGAGCCTCTTTATCTACATTGACAGAGTTGGAAATAGACTTAAACACACACACACACACACGTCTTTTGTGAAATGAAAATTTGTCTAGCTCAGTCCAGACAGGACCCTTGTTTCCTTTCAGGTACAGAAGGTTAAGGGCCATTGGTAGAGGTTGTGTACTCATCCAATCACCTCTTCAGAGTCTGCACATTCTGAGGCATTTCCCTTTTCCCAGATTTTCCAGCTCCTCTTACTGGGTTGTATCAGGGTTGCATGTCATGAGTCATCTATTTGGTCTTAAGTGTTAATTGAGGGAATTTGGTTTCTTTTGCAGAAACGAAGCACAAGGATGAATGTCTTAGGTAGCCAAAGTCCCCTCCACCCTTCTACGCTAAGCACAGGTAAATTTGGGATGTCAAATAGGTGACTGACTTATTTGTTTATTTGGAAAAGTGCTATTCCCAAAGGCTGTTTGATTTACTGGAAGAACGCTAGATTTGGCTTCATACAAGTTTGGGGCTCTGCTGCTCACTACTGGGTGACCATAGGCAAGTCAGTCATAATTCTTCTTGGGGCCTCAGTTTTCCTCATGTCTAACATGAGGGCAGTCTCCAAGGTCCTTTCCAGGACTAAAATCCCATGATGCTACCATGCTAGCCCATCTTACACTCCAGGAGTTGTACTATAGGAATTAATTTCACTCAATTCAAGTAATACATCAAGTTCTGCTAAGCACCTACCTCTCCCCTTTTGGATCACAAGTTCTGAGATGGAATGGTTACTTCAAGAACAATTGTTTTCCCATACCTGCTATTTCCATGCCATCTCCTCTTATCCCAAAAATTTCCTTGAAAATTTTCTGTTTGTGCTTATGTATGTACAAGTCGTCTCTAAGCCCTCTGAGGGGAGAGAGTATTTCTGTGTCCATATCCTCAGTGCCTGGAGCAAAGATGCTTGGTAAATGTTTGTCCATTAGTATGTACTGGACATTGGACTATGTAATGGAGGAGTACGAAGACAAATATGAACAGTCCCATTCCTCCAAGGCTGTGCACTGACTACCTCAGACTGCTACTTTTTCTGCAATTTATAGTATGAGGGTGGAAATTACAGGTATGAAAAGTAAAAAATGCAGAGGATATATTAAGTAAAATGCATAGTTTTCTTATGGTAGAGTGGGGGTACCAGCAACTGAAGTGATCAGATTAAACCTTGGATAAGGGTTGTTCTGTGAGCTGAACAATTAAGGAAGTCAAGGATTCTGCAAGGTACTAGTGCATTCCATGCATGGGTGATAGCCTCTGCAAAGCCATGGAGATGGGTAATGAAATGTCATCTAGGGGCCTGTTAAGGAGGCTATTTCATCAAATTTCTCTACAATCTTTTTTTTTTTTTTAAATTTAACAAAAATCTGTTTTCTCCCTCTCCTGCCATATTGAAAGGGAAAAAAGAACAAGAAAACCTTTGTAACAATAGGCATAATTTGACTAGGTTTTGAGTATCTGAAAAGGGGTACCACTATTCCTGAGGAGAGGAGTAGTACAACGAGATTGGCAGAAGATAGGCTGGACCCAGACTGTGAAGGGTTTTGAATGCCAAATGGGAGCCATCAGAACTTCTTGAGCTGGGAGGTGACAAAGTCAGACTCTCGCTTTTGAAGCATTCCTTTGGTGGCTGTGTGGAGCACTGATGGGGAGGGGAGAGACTGAAGGCAGGGACACCCAGAGAGATGATGAGGGCCTAAAGTAGGCAGTGGTTATATGGGGGCATACACACACACACACACACACACATACACTCGTAGGAGGTAGTGGGGGCAGAGAGAAGAGAATGAATGTGAAGAATGTTGTGAAAGTAGAATCCACAAGGCTTGGCACATGATTTGGCTGTGGACTGTGAGGGAGCAGTATGAGAGAGTAGAATATGACTCCTCCAAGACTGAAAACCATAGTGACTAGAAGGATGGCAGTACATTCAATGGACATTTTTTTTTTTTTTTAAGGTAGATGTTAGGAAGAGGAGAGGGTTTGAGGGAAAAGGGTAATGAGGTCTATTTTATATATGGAGGCATTTCTTACTTGCTTTCCTGTATCCAGTCTCTCTCTTCACCAATCCATGTTTCATGCAGCCTCTAAAATAATCTTTCAGGCACAGGTCTAACTATGTCATTCCCCCTACTTAAAAACCTTCCGTGGCTCCCTGTTGCCAGAGGATTAAATAACAACTTCTTATCTTGGTTCTTAAGAACTTCAACAATCTGGTTAAAACCACCTTTCCTTTCTTATTTTACATTATTCTTATTCCCATATGCTTCATTTTTATTTATCAACCATAAATGGCTCTCCTCCTCTATCCCCAAAGTACCCATACCATCTGTGACACTCAGAGGTAGGCACGAATTAATGCAAACAGTGAATCCCACATAGTTGAATTTGCATCATTTGCAATTTGTAATTTTGTAAAACATGGTCATTGGTTCCAGCCCAATGGAAATATACAGCACAAATTCCAATAATGCATTTGATTGGTTATTCACACTATTTGGGAACTAGCTGTAATTGTATACATGTCATTTCTTTCCTGATCATGTGTGAATTTCTCATGATCTGTAGTCCCACATCACCAGTTGCATATTAGAAAATTTTAGCTGGAAGTCCCTTAGCCATCTTCTTCTCTAAAATGAGGGTATTAGTCTAAATCAGTAGTGCCCACTTAAATAGAAATAGATCTCTATATTGACTTAGAAAACCACAAATTAGCATCATCTATGTTGTATTTTCATTTATTTTGTTAAACCTTTCCCAATTACATTTTAATCTGGTTCATTTGTACTCCATCTCTGGTTTCAATGACCTTTAAAGACCCTTCCAGCTCTTAATCTGTGATTCTGTGATCATACAAAGTTGGGAAGTGGGATGGTTTATGGGAATGGTAGTAAAATGGCAAATGCCATTTCAGACATATTAAGTTGTACTGTAGTAAACCTTAACTCACACTTTCTCCTTCTCTCAAACAGTGATCCATAGGACCCAAAACTGGTTTCATGGAAGGATTTCTCGGGAAGAATCCCATAGGATTATTAAACAGCAGGGGCTTGTGGATGGGTAAGAAAACCATTCAATTGAGTGCCGATAGAAGTTCTGAAACAAATGATAGTGACTAGCAAATGGAACGGTAGTGATAACAATAGCTATCATTTATATAGCACCTACTATGTGCTAGGCACTGTACTGAATAGTTTACAATTATTATCTCATTTGATCCTTAAATATCTGTGGGAGGTAGGTACTATTATTATGCCCCATTTTACATGTGAGAAACTGAGGCAAACAGAGAATAAGTGACTTGCCCAGGGTCACACAGTATAAATATGTGTCTGAGGCCAGATTTGAGTTCAGGTCTTCCTGACTCCTAGCCCATGCTCTGTTATCTACTGTGCCACCGAGCTGGTAGGCAGCAAAGACTAGATCATTGGACTGGATAGTTTGGGTTAGACATGATACTGGCTGCTTATCTTCAGGCACACTGTGGTATCTAGTCCCTGGAAAAGTAATTCCCTCTCATCCTGATTTTATTTCACTGTGATGACTTGTTCTGGGCCATCTGTCCACCCTGATGATTTGATTACATCTACTCTCCTCAGTCAACTATTTGGTAAAAAGCTGAATTTAATGTTTTTTCTTTCTGTGTAAATTTCAGTGTAAAGTTGGTTTGGTTTTTGTATTGCAGTCTCTAAAGAGGCAATGTAGCATAATGGATAGAGTGCTGGGCTTTGAAATGAGGAAAACCAGGGTTTAACTCCTTTCTCCCAAGTGTTTGGGTAAAGTTTTTGAAATAATCTTAATTGATTGATTGGGGGAGAAACAAACTTCATATAATTCTTGCTCCCATTAGCTGTTTTCATCGAAGTCTGAGAGCTTTATACTAGGCCTGTTTCACCTATTTAATGAAATGACCTGGCTCAGAATTGTCATTGAAATTGAATCACCAGTCTTAATATAAGCTGTGACATCAACTGTAAGAAAAACTGAATGATAAATAGTAGGTGACAGCATAGTGCTAATGAGGCAGATAACTCATGTCAACTTTACTCTGTCCCACAGCCCTGATGGCCTAGATCAGGGGTGGAGAATCTGCGGCCTTGAGGCCACATGTGGCCTTCTAGGTCCTTGGGTGTGCAGCCTTTTGACTGAGTCCAAGTTTTATAGAACAAATCCTTTTATTAAGGTCTAGAGTCTAGACCATTTCTCAAAGTTAGTATCTTATGGGGGACAGAGTGTGGATGGATCATCACAAGAATATAAGTTAGGGTTTGTTTTGTTTTTTCCTACCTTCCAGCTTTGGATTATAAGTGCCAGGGCACGGGGAGTACAGGCAGAACTGCTGATCTGATATCTACGCCCCAGATATCAAGTTCATAGTTAGGAAAGAGCTTTCCCTTTAGTTGTGTAAGAACCGGCCCTCAACAAGGGATAAGAACTTACTTTTAACTCCTCATAATAGAGGCAATTATGTGGTATAGTGGACCAGAGTGCTAGAGTGGTATAGAGGGTCAGAGCTGGAGTCAAGAAGACCTGAATTCAAATTTGACCTCAGATATTTTCTAGCTGTATGTATCTCAACAAGCCATTTAACTTCTGCCTCGGTTTTCTCTACTGTAAAATAGGGATAATAATAGCATCTACCCCCCAGGGTTCTTGCAAAGATAAAATGAGATAATATTTGTATAAAGCACTTTGCAAAAAAATTTTTTTTTAAAGGCAGTTGGGGTTAAGTGACTTGCCCAGGGTCACACAGCTAGTAAGTGTCAAGTGTTTGGTCTGAGGCTGGATTTGAACTCAGATCCTCCTGACTTCAGGGCTGGTGCTCTATCCACTGCGCCACTTGGCTGCTCCGAATTGAAAGCTGATTTTAATTTTTTTTTTTTTTTTTTTTGGCGAGGCAATTGAGGTTAAGTGACTTGCCCAAAGTCACACAGTGAGTGTTGTGTCTGAAGCTGGATTTGAACTCAGGTCCTCCTGACTCCAGAGCCAATGCTCTGTCCGCTGCACCACCTAGCTGCCGCACTTTACAAATCTTAAAACCACTATATAAATGCTAGTTATCATCATCATCCTCATCGTCATTGTTATTGTTATTATTATTATCATTACTATTATTATTATTATTATTACTCAGAGTTGTGCAGCTAATAAGGGTCAGAGACAGAATTGGAACCTAGGGTTTTCTGACTCCCACGGGCAGAATTCTATCATGATTTAGAACTGAGGATTTTTACTGTTTTTATATCTGCTATAAACTCATTCTCCTCAGGCTCTTCCTCCTTCGTGACAGCCAGAGTAATCCAAAGGCATTTGTACTCACACTGTGCCATCACCAGAAAATCAAAAATTTCCAGATATTACCTGTAAGTATAGATTTTGCCTGATGATTTTTGTAATCGTTTGCTTTAATCTTAATTTTTAATTTCACCAGGTTTTTTATCTTTAATTTTCCACATAATTTTAAAATTGCAAACTAGAGAAGTTAAGTACTATGGTGTGTATTGATGTTTCACTTCTGCCTCCTCACTCAGAAGATGACCTTCACTGAGAAGTGGAGGCCTCCTCATGGGACTCCTTCAGTTCCCTTCCTCACCCACCCTTCCTCTTACCCACCAGTCATAATAGACAAGGTTGTCATCTGCCTTGACAGCACACACAACCAGAATATTAGAACGTTAGAGCTGACCTAAACCTTAGGCCTTGAATCTTTGAGCTCCAAAAAGGCTTGGGGCTGTGAATTTTGGAAATAGAATGAAAGCGGTCTCTCCACTGGGGAAGGTTGAGGAATAGTCTAGGCAGTGGAGAGTGGTATCTACAGCTGTGGTAGGAGGGACTGGGTGGAGACAGTAGCTTTTCGGTGAGGAACGTACTGTTTGTCACTAGGGGCGGTCCACTTGTCATTTCTAGTAGCCTTTTGCAGATACCAAATACATCTGAGTGTTTGTTACAGCTCCAGTACTCCCTGGTACCAACATGTATCACTGGTATAGTGCCTGAGGGACTACAGTGATGTACAATTGAACCACAGGGAGGGTGATTTTTGCAGTGAGGTTAAATCCCCAATTAATTACTGTGTTTCTCACTGCTTACTCCATTGAGGGTAAAAAAGCAAATGTAGGGTAACTTGGTGTGCTTTGGAAAAGACCAGATAGCATATCTACCTCATTTTCCCCTGTCTTGTCAATAATTATGTAAATACAGTTCTACAAGTGGTACATGGGGCTCTCCTACCCCAAAAGGCACTTGTTGAAATCTGGGGGGAAAGGTTCTCTTGTTAGCTTCAGCCCAGCCTTACTAGAAAGAGAATGCTAGTTGGTCAGGCTAGGTCCTGCCCCTTTGATCAAGTTTTATTGAGTAAGCCTTTTCCTTCGGCCTGAAAATCAAGCTGGTTCCAAAGGAAGTTCATAGCAGAGTAACTAGAGCCTCCTTTTTGGGATAGCATAGAGACCTCATAGTGCTTTTTCTAGAAAAATCTGGAAGAGATTAACAAAATCGAAAGCAAAAAAAAATTAAAGAAAAATAAGCTGGTTTTTTTTTTAAATAAAATAGATAAATTAACTAATTTGATTTTTTTTAATGAAAGAAAAAATGAACTACAGGTAATAAAAATGAAAGAGGAGAATTCACCACAGAAGAGGAAGAAGTAAAGGAATTATTAGATACTTATTTTGACCAATTATGTGTCAGTTTCTGCAAGCTTGACTTTCATAGAGCTTAACTTCCCTATCCTTGCTTCCACATCAAGTCAAAAAGTAAAACAAAGCAATTCTTATGCCTCTTAATAAAATAATTTTCCGTTTTGTACGCCCAGAGGATTTGTGTCTGATTGTATGATATTGCCAGATCCAGAAGGAGCAATTAGCAGACTAATGAATTATTACTGTGTGGCCCTGGCCAAGTTACTTCATATCAGTTTTCTCAAATGCAAAATGGGTGTCATAATGATAGCAGTACTACCTGTTGCACCCAGAAAAAGCACTTAGTAAACCTTAAAGCCGCTATAGGAGTGTGACATTGTATGGTGTCATTAAATTGGCAAAAAGTCAAGAGTTGAAATGCTTTGTTTCTGACATGGATACAATAATGGGTACAGTCAGTGATGCTGGTAGTCCATTCATCCTGTCTACTTATGATCTCTGAGTTGATGCACATAGGTCCCCCAGCTTTGGAAAGCAGACAGATTCCTGACAGGTTTTCTTTATTAGCTCTTTATGTCAACTTTGGAAATTACAGAGGTGTGAGTCATTACTAGGGGTCACTGGGGGTGGGGGAAAAAGATTGTAACCTATGCTTAGAGTCTGTGAAAGGTGCTTCTGGACAGCTGTGCTCTTAGAATTAAGGAGTGGTTCTGTGTTTAAATACGCTGGGCTTGAACATTTTTGCAATGGTGGCAGCTGTCCCACACTGCAATGTTCTATTTTTCATCTGGATCCTAGAAGCTTTATGGTTGTCTAGTCTACTTTTTTTCATTTTACAAATCAGTAAACTGAGGTCAAAGAAAGTTAAAGTGACTTGTCACAAGTCAGGCAGGGAGAAAGTAGCCAAGCTAGGATTCAAACTCCAAATTCAGGACTTCTTTGCCCTATATGCTGTGCTGTGTTTCCTTCAGTAAAGGGGGAGGCGGAGGGAACCACCCCACTCCTAGGAACTAAGGAAAGGCAAGCTAAAACCAAGAGCTTTAATTCAAGGGGGAAATCGCTGTGCTGTTGAGAAGAAGCAGCTTTTGTGGGCACTTGGCCAAACAATCGAAAGTAGGATCTTAGCCCTAGAAGCTGCATGCCCTCCCGAGACCCCAGTTCCCATTCCACCACCGGCTCAGTGTGTGTCCTTAAAGAAGTGGTAGGATCTGTCTCTTTGTCCTTCCTTGGATTTCTCATCCTCAGTTCCTTGGAATCCTCAACATGGCTGCTTGGTAGACCAAGCCATGACTATACTCTTTGAGCTTTAGTTAAATTTTCTACCTTACTGTGATGCCCCCTACTATTTTGCCATACAGTTCATTTGTACTATTTTCTGAAATAAAGACTAATTTACCAGCCCAGAATTCTGGGCTTTTCTCTAATTACAGTAGATTTTTTGGGTTGTGCCATCTAATGTTGAAAGTGTTTTTGTTCCTATAGTGTGAGGACGAGGGACAAATGTTCTTCAGCCTTGATGATGGAAATACCAAATTCACCGATCTGATCCAACTTGTTGAGTTCTACCAGCTAAACAAAGGAGTTTTGCCTTGCAAACTCAAACATCACTGTATCAGAGTGGCCTTATGACCTTGAATTTGGCTCTTGGTTGAAGACTGGATTTGCTAGAAGAATAACTAAGAGAAAGTTAACACTGGAATGGATGAGCAGGTCTGTAAATTGGTTTAAAAGTTATGTTCTGCACCTCAAGACTCTCAAAGGGATGGATTCAGTGGGTGCCAACAGACCAAGATCCTCCTGGTTTGTCCAACACCTAAGAATGATCTGCTGCTGAGTATCCCAGCACACCTTCCTCCCCTTGCCAAATAAAGGAAGGCATGTAGAATTGTGTGCAAATTTGAGACTAAACTGGAATGATCATCTTGACTGGGCCACTTAACAGGAACAGGTTCTGAAGAGAAATCATTGGAAAAGGACTCTTGCCCTGGAATAATCTTGACAATTAAAACTGGTGTGTTTACTTTTTTTGTATTGATCACTTTTTTTTTTTTTTGCACTCCTACTTTGTTTTGGATATTGTATACAGCCTATATTAGGACATGATGTGGCTTTTCAATTCATGGTAGGAGCTAAAAAGTCTCCGCCTGTCAGAATTAGAAGACCTAAAGTGTTGGGTCTCAGCATTTCTCCAAGGGCAGTTTCTGCTCTCAGCTGATTAAAGCAGTGTGAATTCAGTTCTAAAACTATAACTCCACCAACCCAGTGGGCTTTGAAAATCATTGATGAGGTTTTTATCCTTGGGGAAATGACTGGTATACATGTAGCATAATTAATGGACCCAGTCATGAGACCCCAGTCTAGTCATCCAATTTCTATGCACAAATGTTTGAACCTTTTGTTGTTAACATGTGTGTTATATTTTCCTCCCAGCCAAATAGTTTTTATTCTTTAGGAAATTCACTGTTACACAATCACAACTGAATGACCATGCTGGCTGGTTTCTATGAAAAATCACCAATGCTGATCGTGTGCTTGTTAGGACAAATGATCGGCCTTTTATTTTTTTTTAGCTTTATGTCCTCCATGGTCTTTAGTTTCTTTCAGAAACACCACCATATTACCATCATCAGCCTGTTGAAAGGCTAAATAATGCTACAGAATCCAGCCCAAGCCCCTGTCATGGATAGAGTTCCAGGAGTTTAAAAGAAAAATGGCTCCTATTTTGTTTACTGCAGTGAATGTCCTGAATGTCTCCATGGTGAGAAACATCCACAAACAACAAAGTGGACACAGACTCAACCTGACATTTAAGATGTTTTGACCTTGTGACCTCCATCCTGCTGAAAGAAACACACACATACACACACACACACACACACACACACACACACACACACACACACGTAAGCCAGCTGACTGCAAGCCGATTAAGAGTATTTTACTACTGGCTTATGATCAGAATTGCTTCGTTGTCAATGTTTAAATTGAATATTTAGTCATAACACAATATTGGTTTTCCTTTTTTCTGATGAGCCGGAAAGACCGTGGCTACGGTCTTTCCCGATTTTCCATCCCACATCTCCCAGTCCTTGCCTCTTAGCCCGAACATAGAAACCAGGCATGAAAAATAGCCATTTCCCCTTTTCTCTACAGATTGGAAAGTGCTTACTTGAAAGGGTGTTCAGACTACTGTGGTGAACAAAATAGTTTTCTTTTAACCTAGCAGTGAGAATGCGGACCGGCTCCCTGATTGGTGTTAGCCACTGGATTGCTTTAAAAATCCTCTCTGCTGAAGGAAAAAATCATTTCATACTGCTCTTTGGTCATCATATATAGCTTTGACAGTAGTTTAAGACAAAAATGTAACAAGCTTAAGTAATACATATCAGCTATAACTATGTCGATGGTATAGAAACACTGTATTTTAGTTTACAGATCACATTCTAGTATTTTCCATGAAATGTCTACTTAGAAGATGGAGATTTTTTTTTTTTAGCAAAATGTGTTTTTCAGCTGCAATATGGAACTGCATTTTCCTGCCTTTTTTTTTTTTTCCCTTTTAGCCACTCTTTTCAAACAATCAGAAATTTGGCTAATAACTGTTCATATTTCCAACTTCACTTTGCATGCGTGATTCAGCCTCACTTTGGGGGGAAGACACAGCTATTATAAACTTTTCTATTTGGTGGATTGAAATAAACCTTTTTTCGGTTTTTTGGCTATAAGATTTATTTTCTGTTTACATAGATTGGTTCCAATAATTCATTTCCCCCCTCCACCCCACCCACCACCAGTAGACAGCTAGTATTTGCAGTGTTTTGTATTTATAAACTTGCATTTTATTTAAATGGAGATAAATAAAAGTTTGACTCTGAATCACAATTTTGTACGTATGTAGATGGTTGACTTAGTCTTTTGTACTTTTCCAGCCTAAGTGAACTGTTTGAGAAAGTAACCAGTCTCAGAGTGGTCACAAGCTTACTCTGCCAGCTCACAGCTCACTTTCCACTTCCCTTTGTGCTGGGTCACTGAGAGAGCACCACCCTATAACAAACAAACCAACCAACAAATCCAGTAGAATCAGCTGGGTTCCAGCTTAGCAAACCAAGGACTGAAGGACGTTTGACTTTTATTTTTGTATTTAAATGACATGAATGTAAAGGGGACGCTCAGGGTTGTTTTGGAGCCTGTTGAATTTTTTTTTTTGTCTTTGCCTGTGATTTTTATTTTCTAAATGAAAACTTCATGTAGCAATCTTGAATATGTTGAGAAGGAAAATGCCAAACGGTTTTGGTAATAAAGTTAGTAGTTAAGTTATGTTACACTAGGTGTTAAAGTACAGAAAGCTTTTATTTGTTAAACCTTGAAGAAACACGTGCCTCAGTTTAGATGTTTTGTCTTATCTTTTCTGCACTAAATAAGTACCTGACAGTTTGACCAATCAATGCACCTTTCCAGTGGCAAGACTTGCTTATCGTAAATTATATTTGTCACAATGCAAGATGTAGTAACTGTAAAATGGAATAAAGTTGAAAAGTTTTCAGGGAATGCAAAAGGTATTAACTTAAAGACAAAACTTTTATTCAGTATGCTTTGCTTCATACTGTAAATAGCTTTTGGGCTTGTGAACCTAATTGTAATCTGTCTTTCAGGTATTTTTGTACAAATAAGGGACTGATATTCTGTTTCTTGTAATTAGAAATAAACATTAATACAATGCTATTCATTTTATACTGCTGTTAATATCTGGTTTCTATGTTTAAAACTTTTTTTTTTTTTGCTGATTATCAGGCAAAATACTGAAAGGTTCTTAAGATATTAAACTTGCTCCAATACAGTAATGGACCTGTGATCTCGTCGTTTATATAGGTGTTCCTTCCAACGACACAGATCGCAACCCATCCACGCCTGACCATTCTGTGTGAGTCTAGTAGATGCCCTCCCATAAATTTACTGTGGGATCCACCCAGTGTGCTGAGGCCTTTCCTATATTTGTATGGATACCAAAGGAGCCCCAGAATTAATGATCCCCCCTTTCTCTTTGAAACCAGTTCTTCTGGTTTTTTTTCTGGCTGTATGTTTACCTGATAACATAATTTAAACTACTGCTCCTGGGTAATTTCTTCTTTTTAATGTGGTGCAACCTATTCACTTGAAATATTTTTAAAAAGATACTTATTTCCAGCTTTTAAAATGGGATTCAAAGTACCAGAAGTAGATTTAATTTAAAATTTCCAAAGTTACTAGCTATAGATCTGTAGTTTAATGGAGCTATTTTATTGCAAGAAATTTGGAATTTCTTGTACGTGGAAAGTGACATAATCTTCTCTTCTCAGCGTACTGTTCCCCAATTCCATGCTGCCTCTTCAAGCCTAAAACTTAGTGAAAATGTTAATAAGAATTTTGGGATAATAAAAAAAAACAACACAGTTAAGGGACCTGGTAATCAACTGATACATGTGTTTATTTTTCTTTTTTTTTTGAGCTTATTTTAAAAGTTCTATTCCATACTTCTCACTATTAAAAGATACATTTTGCCATTGCTGAAATGCCAAGTTCTGGATCAGGTTTCAATGTCTTTTATTAGAGGGATATTTCATATCTGCAGACTTATTTCCTACTGTCTGCAAATATGCCCACATCTTCCCCGTCTTCATCATTGCCTTGATCCCTGCATTGATTCTTGTATCCCCTCTGGCCTAGATCTCTCCCACCCTTGACCAGTGTACAATAGGGGTCTCCATTTTTCCTCTTACTTTCTTCTTAACCCTTTGGCTTCCAGCCTGATTCCAGTGAAGCTTCTCTCTCCAAAGTTACTGGTGATCTCTTAGTTGCCAAATCCAATGGGCATTTCTCAGTCCTCATTCTCCTTGACTTTTCTGCTGCCAGTGACACTGTTAATCACTCTCTTCTCCTGGATACTGTCTTTTTTCTAGGTTTTCAGGACACCACTCTCTCCTGGATCTCCTGACTGCTATCTGACTGCTTCTTCTCGGTCTCCTTTGCTTGATTCTCATCCTGATCACGCCCTGTAACCATAGATGTCTCGTAGGGTTTTGTCTTGAGCTCACTTCTCTTCTCCCTCTATACTGCTTTACGTGGTGATCTCATCATCATCCATAGATTTAATTACCATCTCTGTGCTGATGATTCTCAGATCAACCTATCCTGCCCCAAACTCTCAAATGTCTCATCTCCAGCTGCCTTTCAGACATCTTGATCTGAACATCCAGTAGTCATCTTAAACTAACCATCCAAAACAGAGCTCATTGTCTTTCCCCCTAAATCCTTCCCTGCTCCTGCCTTCTTTATTACTGTAGAGGGCAACACCATCTTCCTAGTCCCTCAAGCTCACAACCTAGGAGTCATTCTGATTCCTCTCTCTCTTTGTCACCCTCCATATCCAATCTGTTGCTGAGGTCTGTCGATACCAGTTTTGCAACATCTCTCCAGTATGCTCCCTTCTCTCCTCTGACACTACCACCCTACTCTGGTTTATCATCTCACACTTTGATTATTGCAATTGCCTGTCAATGAGTCTGCCTACCTCAACTCTCTCTCCATCTGCCATTTAACCACCAAAGTGATTTTCATAAAGCACAGGTCCAATCATGTCATTCGTCTACTCAGTTAATTCCAGGGGCTCCCTCTTTGATCTGAGGATCAAATAGAAATTGCTTTGCTTATAAGCTAGCCCCCTCCTGCCTTTCCAGTCTTCTTTATGCTTTCTTCCTCACCATGTACTCTTTGAATCAGTAACACTGGCTTCCTGGCTGTTCCAAGAAGAAGACACCTCTCGCCACTCTGGGTATTTTCTCTGGCTGTCTCCCATGCTGGAAATGTTCTCCCTCCTCTGCTCTGACTCTTGACCTTCCTGGCTTCTTTTAAGTCCCAATTAAAATCACACCTTAGTCTTTCCCAACCCCTCTTAATTCTAGTGCCTTCTCTCTGTTCATTATTTCCTATTTATCCCGTAATATAACTTGTTCTGTAAATATTTGTTGTCTCCCCTCTTAGATTGTGAGTTTCGTGTGGGCAAAAACTGTCTTTTGCCTCTTTTTGTATCCCCAGTGCTTAATAGTACTTGGCACATAATAGGCACTTAATAAATATTAATTGATTACATCAGATTTAATAATATTTCTTAAAATGGCATGAAAGTTGTTAACTAATCAACCATAGAATTATAGCTTTAAAGCCAAAAGCTATGTTAGAGGTCATTGAGTCCAACTTCATTTTACAGATGAGAAAGTTGAGGCACAGAGAAGTTAAATGACCACAGCTAGTTAGAGTGAACCCAGGACTAACTTTTCTCTCCACTTAAACAGATAGAAAAGGATCCTTGATTTTATAGTGATTCCATCTGATAAAATGCATATTTGCTTTCCTCTTTTGGGGGCATAGACACTAGCTAATAAAAGGGGGACTTAGAAAGATGGGGAGGGGGCATTGAACAGAAAAGAAAGCAAATGTTAGTTGAAAGCATAAATCACCAGCCTTCTTTTACCTTTGCAGGATCCCTTAGGTCAAAACCAAAGGGCCTACTTACTGGTACATCTTTACTTGTAGGACTGGACTCATTGCCTTAACTATTCCAGAGTGTGTGTGTGTGTGTGTGTGTGTGTCAAAGATGGAAATAAGCCACCTTTTGATCTCTGTTTGAAGTTTGACTTTTTTAGCCTCTTAACATTGATTTATGAAATTTCAGTCCTGGGAAAGCAACCTATTGAGTAGAAATGTGATATTCGAATTGTTTCTAAACTTTCTATCCTCATCATTACTAGATATGTTACAAAGATGGCATTCTTGAGTGTCAATTACCAATAGATGGACAGTCCAGTCTTTAATTGGTTTGCTTGCAGTCTGTGAATAACATCATTCAACTCATACCCAAGTCCTCTTAATTGATGAAATGATTCAGTGATGTCAGTTTGCTTGGAGCCCTATTTTACTTTTCAATTACAATTAGTTATATCTGTTTACACTAAACATGACCACTTTCCACTTTGGAATTTTATAAAATCTCTGTACAATTTCAGTTATTCCTCCAAGTCCTTACTCTTCTAACTTCCCTCCTTTTTTGTGATACAGGTAGTAGCTATGATGGGAAATGATTAAGCATCAAATGTAGTCCAACCCCTATGTTACCTTGCAGTGAAGGAGGCTGTCTTGAAGGCAGATAAAATTCAAGTTAGTGGGACCTGGAAAGAATAGCCAGAGAATCTTGTAGCTATGAGGGAAAAAGATCATTGGTCTAACAAGCTAAGCTCTCGACTCTCCTATTTTACAGGTAAGAAAAGTGAGGTTCATATATATTATGTGATCTACTCATGATTAGTTAAAGGACTAAAAGTGAAGGCTTCCTGACTTCTGAGGCAGAGCTCTTTCTCCCCCTGCTTAAGTACTTCTGTTGATTGATGCCTAGCAATGCTAGGTAGCTCAGTGGATAGAACTCTGGACTTCGAGTCAGGAAGGCTCATCTTCCTGAGTTCAAATTCAGCCTCAGACACTTAATAGCTGTGTGACTCTGGGCAAGTCACTTAACCTTGTTTGCCTCAGTTTCTCATCTGTAAAATGAGCTGGAGAAGGAAATGGCAAACCACTCCAGTATCTTTGCTAAGAAAATCCTAAATGGGGTCATGGAGAGTTGGACACTACTGAAAGGACTGAACAATGACAACACATTAGTAGTTGCACTCAAAAGTGTGCGATATTGGGGGCAGCTGGGTGGTGCAGTGGATAGAGTACCCGCCCTGAAGTCAGGAGGACCTGAGTTCAAATCTGCCCTCAGACCAAACATTTAACACTTACCAGCTGTGTGACCCTGGGCAAGTCACTTAACCTCAATTGCCTAAAAATTTAAAAAAAAATTTTTTTTAAATGTACTGTATTTCTTGCTGTCTTTTCAAAGATTTTCTACAGCTTAGTAGCATTGTAGAAAAGAGACCCATTGCTTGACTTTTTTTTTAATTGACTTTTTAAAAAGATCTCTTTTGCTAATTAATCTAGCCCTTATTCCCAGGGGAGGCAGTGTGGTATAATAAGAGCACTGAATTTGGAGTCAGGATCTGGATTTGAATCCTGACTCTCCTATTTACTAGGTGGGCAACCTTGGGTAAATGACTAAACCTCTCTGGGCTTCAGTTTTCTCACCTGTAAAAGGAGGGCTTTGAACTTGAGGATCTCCAAAACCCCATCTTTGGTCAGATGCCTTCCAAGTTCCAGGAAGCCTGAAGCTAGAACCCATTCACTCATAAGGTTAGAGAATGAATGGGAGATGGAAGGAGGGAGTGCCTGTATTCACAATCACTAGTCAACATTTCTGGGCTACAGTTTGACTGGACATATTTACTCCCTCTCCACTTTATAAACATGATTATAGGTAGCTTCCCATTGTCAAAGTTATTTGAGAGCAGAGGGGTGGGATGATGACCTCGAGTTATGATTAGTCATGATTACATATTCCACTTTTAAATTATCCAAACACTTGACCCACTTTGGTTTTCATAGAAGACAAAGGATTCTCATTGATGTGAATTCATCAACAATTTACTGTGGTTTTTCTAAGAAAATCCATTATACATAACATCTCTATTATGTGGGGCTCAGTTATAGCATGTTTTGTATTATGCATTTCCAGTAAAGGATGGGCTCTTCCCCAGTTTTATAAAATATCAGTAAATGAATGCCCACTTGCTTATGAGAGAAGCTGGTTACCACTTCAGGCCATT